TGTTCTACTCAATATTTTTATATTAACAACAGATCAAACGACTGTGTGTAATGTAAAAGGTCACTGATAATGGCAGACCCACAGAGGATTGTCATCTAGTGCTGCATTTCCCAGCAGCTCTACAGAGCATTTTAGCATCTTTCAGCTCATTCTTTTGATTTTATAGCCCGCAGCTTTACTGTTTCTTGTTCAGTCTTACCGCACTTAAAGACCGACTCTGATGAAAATCGGAAGTGTTTAACCTTGTTAACATGTTTTTTTCTATAATACAAAACATATCATGACCAAATAAAGTAGTCAACGCCATGACTGCATATTCCCACCTTGGAACTGCAATGAACCAATGACAGCCTCATAAAAGCAGATTCAGACAGCCAGGCTTTCATATGTCATATAACTAAGAAACCAATCACGTCAACGTGCAGGGATGGGGGGGGGGCAGGCAAAATAAATCTGAAACAAACAACATAAACAAATAAAAGATGCTAACATTGCTAACCATTCTGATACTTCTTCTAGTCATTGAATTTGGTCTCTACACACTCCTCATCCAAGTCTGTGTCTGACTGAGGCTCAAACATGTGGCTGAGTCTCTCTGATGTTTCCTCCTCCAACCATCTTAATACACACTGCTCTCTCACCAAGTCCCTGAAACCAACTTTGCACTATCTGACCAGGACTAATACCAGGAACATACTGCCTGTTGCATGTCGTTGACCTGCAGTGGAACAACTGCCAGCTCTAACTTTCTAAGTAGTTTGTAGATAGTTTGCAGGTTACTAGAATATTGGATTTCTTTTCATTATAAATCAATTTTTGTCAATATGACATCAACAGGTCTTTTTTTTCACAACTAGTGTCTCACGGGTGTGTCACGCAGGCGGTGTCACCGCTCTAACCCGTTTGGCATAGGTGCCGAAATGAAAACAAAGACTGTGCTGTGACAAACGCCACGCATCCAGTGTGTTCCTGGCCTTAGGCAGGGAAAAGACCTGTTGACAATCACATTAACATCACACCAGCGACATTATGTGCTTCTTCGCAACAGGTCAGCGTCAGCAGCCGCCATTGTACACGCAACGCAGGCAACATGTTCCTGGTGTAAAGAGCAGGCAGACTAAATTTGTGAACATGATAGATCCTTTAGCTAGTTAGAAATTTTCCAGGAATTGGCGGAGACCAAAACAGAGCTAAAAGGAGAGTAAATACTGGATTTGCATTTAAGTCAAATATGATTCCAAAGCTGTGTTCACTAATTTGTAGCTGTGACACCGAACAAGGACAAACAGCATCAAAAGAATGTAAATTGTACTCGACAAACTAATGTTTGTGTTTTGATGAAAATTTCCATTACTCAATGAATCATTATGTTGATTTCTAGTATGGCCAAGCACACGTTCACATCCATTCAACAGGGTTTGAATTCTGCAGAGATTCTTTCATTCTTTCTAAATGAATGTTTGCTTTTTTATTGACTGAGATTCAAGAGACAATAAACCACAACATCACGCTCACTTTCATCACCAGTCTTTTGCCATAACGCAGTCAGTGGACCAGACTGTTATTCCAAGAATATTTTTCTTAATTTTTTTTTTTTTGAGAGAAGTGAGCATTAAATAACATTATTATATCATAATTCCCCAATGTGTGTGGGAAATATGAGCTATCATAGTACCAGGGTGGGGGAGAGAGATCTGAAGTTCTTTATCAGAGAATACAGTATCCATCCCACTCCTGCAAGCGAGGCTTAGGGGACTGTACTCTCCATGGACTCTCTCTGTGTGCCAGACTTCACTGGGTTTAGCACAAGAAGCACAACTTATTGGATTATGGGGTCCACCGTCTATGCTCATATTGCTGGAGGCTGTGTGTGTGTGTGTATGTGCAGGGAAATATGTGGGTGTGCAGCTCCTGAACCGAGGGAGGGATGGAGTAGTAAATACATAATAAATTCCCATTTACTTTTCTACTTTATGTACAGAATTTCTAATAGAGCCCTACCTTTTCATGTTCAGAGGTTAGAAGTTTAAGCAGGTCCGAGGAGCAGCAGCGTACTGTAAATGAATCAGGACGGGCATGCCTTGTCTTGTTTCACGTGGATTTAACTGCACCTGTTTAATTTCAATCCTCAGGAAGTGTTTCGTCTGCATGGACAGGATAAGGTTTTGGCACACATTCCTGGTTAGATAGACTGTCTGCTGACGATAATTGTCCACATGCAGACAGAGATACACAGGGGAAGTGATTTACTGGCACGAACACACTGTCTATTTGTGTACTTGGTGCGTATTTGATGTAGTAACCCAGCTCACCCTTCACAGATTTCAGCCCAGGTAGTGTGGGATGTTGTGTTTTCAAGCTGAAGTTAATCTTTCCCTCTCTTTTTCTCTTTTGTCCTCATTTCACTGTACATTCTCTCTCAGTGCTGCAGAAATAGAAATAAAATCATGATAATGTTGTCTCTAGCTGCTCTACTTTCAATATCATTAATGCTTGAGAAAGGAAGCATAGTAGGCAACCAATGGGATTCTGTCCTGCTGTGTCCAGCATCATTCAAGCATGCTTTGATGGTAGATGTGCCCTTTCCTTAGTACTGAGAAAAGAGTCAGAGAGGCTGGGAGGAATCCCTCCATTTGCTCTTTATTATTTATTCTGCAGCATGGCACATGGAAAGCATGCAGGGCAGGAGCGACTGAAAATGTGCTCTGCTCAGAGAGAGGCAGTACTCATACCAGTATCACACTGTAACAAGACAACAGTTAAAATCGGATAACTGGCAACACTTATAATGAAGCTACCGCTGCACTCATTATTGCAGGGTCCAACTAACATCACGCGGACAGCAGGGTATATGTTTATGACGGGCAGGGAATCTTTGAATAACAACTGATTGTTGTAAAGGAGACAAAAAAATCAATTCACTGTCAAGAGTAGACATTTAATTGCAAATATTCAGGGGGTCATGAATATGGTGTGTGGCCCACAGTGTGCTGGCTGTATTCCTCTCACGTAGCCCTTTGAGGGGCTGAGTGACTGCCTCCCTCTGCCAGAAGCGCCATCCTTGTCCCAGTGGCGTTCCACCTTAAAAAGACGAATATATGTGTCTAACTGGCTCCCTGACATTGACACGCCGTGACTCACGCTGCCATGCTATTTCAGTATGGCTGCTGGCAAGCCCAGCCTTTCTGTCGCCTCTCCCCTCTCATGGTTAGGTCATTTGTTTGCCTCCCCTGCTAGGCTGTTTACTTGTAATTTGGACATCTGTCAAGGTGGTTTGTTTGCTACCCTGCGGTGTGATTAGGCTACCTTTGCCAAATCTAGGAAGATAGATGGGGTTATAGCAAATCTTGGCTGTAAAGACAAAGCCACAGTTTGGCTACCTCTCATCTACCAAGTTTAGTAGGCTAATTAAGAAAGCGCAGGGCAACAACAAAAAGGGCACTGTGAAAGAGATGCAACAAGTTCAGCAGATCCAGGTCAGTGGTCACAGACGTATTCATCATGCTTGTTCACACTCTCTCTCTCCATCAGTCTTAATGGTGGTCCTGTGCAGTGTCCCAGTACTGTCTGTTCGGTCCCGCCTTGTCCTGTCACACAGTCTGTTCAGCTCCGGTGCCAGATCCTCCTCTTACACCAGAGGGAAGGAGTGGGGCAATTAACCACCTGCTGGTAAAGCAGCCGCACCGCACGGCCTAACACACACCCTAACATTTACAGGATCACTCATGAAAACAAAGATTTATAGACATGCTGTCACTCATTTTGTTGCATTGCTGCATGAAGCAGCAGTGCAACAAAAGAGGTGGGGGTGGTGCTGATTTCAAATTTGCTTGCTGATCATGTTTCATCCTGAGCGTTACAAATTTGTTCATCTCCTTAATGAACATTATTGCCAGGATCGCATTAACCCAGCACTTAAGTTTCCTAATGGCTAACGTCATGCTCCATGCTCACATCACATTGCATAGCTACTGTACATTCTCACACAGTCAATACTGAATAATTTCACCAGCCCATCTAACTTCACTGAAAATGTCTTTCTTATAATTTTTGGATCATCAGCCACAGTGAGATTTTTTATAGATTAAAAACAGGTGATATAAAAAAACAAAACAATGACCAAACATCTGAGCTGTTTAACTTTCCATGTTGGTAAATCATTCACAGCTGATAGGAACTTGTGATATTGTGAGCTGCTTCAAATAACTCCTGTGATAAATTTAATCAGTTAATAAAATACCTAATTTACAGCCTGAACGCTGCAGCAGTCGCGCTGCAGTTGGCAGTTCTGTCACTTATGTTGCCACTGATGCACAAATCAACAAACTCGTGTCGCTGTCGGCCGTCTGTCTGTGAGCAACAATAACAGAGTGTGTTTTCACGGGTGTGTCAGTAGGGTGTGTTGGGGGGAAGGGTTGTGTGGGAAATGTAGCACCAATTTGTAGCTGCATTCACTTAAAGCGGTTGCATGGCTGTAAAGAAGAACTACTTTACATATTCAAACTGCATTAAATCCTGAAGAAACCTTGTTTTATTGAGGCACAGCTGCACACAGGAAGTTATGACCTCATTATAATGGAAAGACACATGATAGATACTGTATGTTCACCTGCATTTAAAAAAAAGCAGCACAGCAACATTGTTGTTGAACTACTCAACTCAGGAAGGTAATCATTAATTTCTGTCATCAGCTACTGTTCACAGGTGTGTGATTAGAAAACATATTCACCACAGTGAGATTAAGAAAACTCTTTTTTTCTGATTTCTGATTCTTATTTTTTAGTTAATTATATATTTTTAATATATAGAAACAAGTTTCTAAACCATAAACATATAAGTTTCCAAAAGCGAAAACCCTTTATATGGTATTGTAGGAGGTTTGACATGTCTAACTTTAGGAGTGGCCAACAGATGCACTATGGACAGAGAGGGTGGGGCCACCCTTACTGCTGCCGAGTTTCACCTGAGAGCAAAATAAGCAAACTTCACCAGTACTGAAACAGAGACTGGCCTTGGAGCACATACTTTGGGTTATTTCTTCATTTTAAGGTATGTCAGAGCTGTTTTATTTTCCTCTTTAAACCTTATTGCTCCACAGAACTCCATTAAATTTTCTCTGTAGTGTTTGGTGAAGAAAGAAACAGTTTGTACGAGTACTTTTTGTTTCACATTGATATTCACATATCCTTCCATTCCAGTGTTAGCATGTTAGATTTCAGATGACTGTATTGAGAGAGGTGGTTGACAACTACACGAGTAGAGATCTTTTCACCTGTATGAAATGAAATAAGAGGCATTCAAAAATATCAGACAGCTGCTGAAAGGACATTCCAAGAATAATTCTTTCACTTCTTGTTACATTTGCTCTCAGGGTCATAATGGAGCGCGCACTCACAGGCATGAAGCTAAAAGTGACTGTGTTGTTTCTGGTAACGATCCAGCTGAGGACAGGTGAGTCTAATTTCATATCTCACGCCAAAGCAAATATCACACCTGACACTTCTCTGATTTCCTTTGTTTGCCCCCTGACTGCTCTTTTATCAGACTTAAATATTCTGAACATGCAGAGCGGAGAATATGTGATCACTCAGATAACAGGTGTTTTGTTTTTTTCTGGGTGGTTCAAGTCTGATCAGTGATTCATGTGATTGCCTGGCCGGCCTGACAAGCTCTTAGCCGACGATCTGAATGTCATTGAGTGAACTGCATTGCAGACGCTCGATGAACCATGTATATATAATGTGAGCGGCAGACAGGCACCCTGCATAACATCCGCACCTCTGTTGCAGTTGATGAGGGTCAGGTTGCTGTGTGTGTTAGTAAAGCTAGACCATAAAGAGACTTTATTATCTCCAGTGGGGAAATTAGTCTCAGGCTTAAATCCAAGCTGCCGGATTTAATATATACACAGCTTAAAAAACAGAAGTGAAATTAAATCAAATGCATGAAGCAGAGAGAAAACAGACTGACCATATAAGATACATGCAAAACTCTTATCATATCCCACAAAAACCTCCTAACTCTTCATTTTGCACCAGCTCATTAGATCAGTTTACTGGTATTACTAGAGCCTTGATTGATTCTTTAAATTGCAGTGCAACCTCTTTGTAGTAAAGTGACAGGAAAGTGTCACCCCAGCCCGCTGTCTGTGGCACCGAGGAGGTGCAGAGGATTTGAATATTTGCAGCTCTTTGTATTAAGCTTAGTGACTGCGTTTACTGGCAAGTTAGCTTAGCTGCCTCTGCACATAGGAAACACATCTTCCGTAGATCACAGTGTTGTGCCCAGGGGGGGCTTTCACAGTCTAAACATTTGAGTGACTAATGTGAGCTTTTTTTTCAGGCTCCCTTCATCACATCTGCCATTAACACGCTTTCATAAATACCTCTGACATACTTTGTTTTGTTGCAGCGGCATTAAAGTGCTTTCAGAGAGTTATAGTGGATTTAATGATGAGAAGTTGATTTGATTTATCCGCCTGCTCCATTTGGATATTTAGTGTTGGTTAAACATCTAAAAAGTTAAATTACTACATTAGCAAGATAAATAACTGGGATCTGTTGAAAAGTGCTGCCACGTAATAATAATAATAATAATAATTAGCATAGAGTCCTTTCTATAAATGACGAGCTATCAGGAATAATTAAAATCCACAGCCGTAAACAATGAGTCAGCAGGGTGTGCGTCAGCTCCAAGACAGATTTTAACAGCCACTCGTCAAGTGTGTTTTTTCATGTTTGCTCATTTATTCAGTTTTCATGATCATTTACCAATAAATTTCTGACAATTAATGAGCCTGAATGAGAGTTTTAAATTAATACATAAGTCATTTTTACTCTTATTCCAGTTCCAAACACTCAAATCTTCAGTTTGACTTAAGAGGCCAATTAGACACAGATCAGCAGTCCTTCTCCACTCTGAGACTGTTTACGAGCACAGGCCCAGAGCTTGAATGTCATTAAGTGAGGAAAAAATATTAATGCATTTGAGAGAGGAAATTGTTTTGTTTTGTTTTTTTTTTTTTTATAATGTTTTGTCTTTTGGCCAGCGTGGATGATTATGAAAGTCAGAGGGAGGATGAACTGTAACCTCTATTATGAGATCTGACCAAAAATGTTTCTGGCCCCATCAGATGTGACGGAGGCGATGGAGATAACATCCTCGGGGCCACAAACCATTCAGAAACCCGAGTGGGACACAGTCAAACTGGGATGCACCTACACCCCCGGCCCAAGAGACACAGGAGATCTGGACATCGAGTGGTACAGCCTCAGCCCAGACATGACGCAGAGAGACACACTGGTAGGTGTTTGAGGACAGTGAGGGAGGTCGTTTGGACAGTTGACTTTAGCATGGATTAATCAAGCGAGAGGGTGGGTTGTCTTTTAGCTCTGGGCTCTCTTCGTGAAAATAAAAACTGCTTTGAAGATCACTCAGTGCAGTCTTTGCATCTCAGATCTTATCATATACAGGGGGCCAGATGCACTACTACGGAGACACCAGCATCTCCAAAAGGCTCCGCTTCATAGCAGACCCCAAGCTGGGAGACGCTTCCATCTCCATCTCCGATGTGAGGCTCTCAGACACAGCCACCTACCAGTGCAAAGTCAAGAAGGCCCCGGGTGTCGACATGCGAAAAGTCACTCTGGTGGTGATGGGTGAGGAAAAAATTCCTTTATACTGGTTTTACCTGTTCATTTCCTCAGCACACTCTCATTCTTCGTTTAACTGTCGCTGTCATTCAGGAGGAATGTTTGGGCTCTTTCTAGTTTCTCCTCCTCTCACCGTCACTGATCATACCTTTCTCTGTAGCCAGACCCAGACTTGTTCTGCTCCTTCACACCTTCAACTCTCCCCTGAGCCAAAGCATTGACGCATAAGTTTTTGTGCCATGTGTTTCTTTATTTCCTTTCACTAGTTCCCCCATCAGTGCCAAAGTGTTGGGTGGAAGGTGGCGAGGAGAAAGGTGGCACAGTCTCCCTCCGCTGCAAATCCTCTAAGGGATCCACTCCTCTCACTTATGTGTGGAAGAGAGAGAGCGGAGGTGCAATACCAGCCACTGCAACCCAAAGTGAGGAAGCAACCCTACAGACAAAACAGCTTTTCTATAAGCATATATACACATTCATGATGCTGTATTTGTGTAATATACTTGAACTGAATGCTCTCCTCTTTCATTCAGACTCACAGTCTGGGGAGCTTTTGATAAGTAACCATACAGACAGCAACACTGGAACTTACATGTGTGAGGCGAAAAATGCTGTCGGCAAAGCACAGTGTAAATATGAACTGCATGCATACAACCGTAAGTCTATTTTATCATCATCTAATTTTACTTTTAAGTACTTAACGTTCTTATATCCTAAAGGCACCTTTTTATTTTGCTTCTGCATGGTTTGAGTGTCTGCTGCAGTGTGTGATGCAAGTAGCAAGATCACATGTGAGCCTTTTGTTGAAGCTGGAATTCATGACTGTAAAGAATGAGTTGAATGTTTGATCTTAAAGCACCATGTCCTCTCTTTTAGCTACCAATAAGGTGGGTGTCATCGTTGGGGCGGTGATAGGTGCTATCTTGCTGCTCCTCCTCCTCCTGTTTCTCATCTGGCTCCTGATCTGCTGCTGCCATAAGCGTCACTATCAGAAAGAGGTCGCGAATGAAATAAGGTATTGCATCACTGCTGGAAACAATTTCAAGCACTCATGAAATCATCCAAAATCAGAGGAACCATCTGTTTGAGACCCGTGTGACTATTGTCTCCTCAGGGAGGACGCCCCGGCCCCAGAGAGCCGACCCTCCAGCAGGAACTCCAGCCTCCGCTCAGTGATGGGGTACCGCACCCACCCCGGGGTGCACTACAGCTCGGTTGGGAACCACCTGCCCAGTATCCGTGAATCTCAACGCGGTTCCGTCTACACAGGCGGGAGTACCAGGTCGTCACAGCCACCTACTGCAGGGGACAGGCCTGCTCCCCTTCAGTACGACCATCAATACGGATACCCTGTGTAGCTACAATCAAACTGCATAAAAGACTTTCTATCTTTAGTATCAAACTAAGGAAGAAGAATGAAAAAAAGACTCTTACTTTGACGATAAATTATCTTGTAAAGAATGAACAGTATGTTTTTTGACAAATGGCGCAGTATCATATGTTTAACTGGAGAACAATGGGAGTTCTGGTATATTGGAGACTCCTAAAATCTTACCTCAGCCCTTGGACAAACGTAAATGTGCAACTGGCTGACTTTCATGATGCACTCTAGGACATATAAGAATAGGTTCTTATAATTTAAGTCATTATTACACTGATTAAGCTAAAGTTGTGTGTACATGTAAATAGTTAAAATATTTGTGTTTTTATTTTATTTTTTTCTATGATGGATATGAAGCTTCAGTTTATTACTTTTTTTTCCTTTTCTTTTTTTTTTTTTTTTTTTTTTAAATATGTACAATAAAACATGTTTCCAAAAGGAGAGGACTGATGGATATCCTGTCTACATTCAGATTTTTGTGTCCTGGCTCCATGACAGAATAGAAACACAATAGAAACATATGAAAACTCCCACTCAGAGGACGCAGAATGTAACCAGTTTAACCCTTCTGAAAAAGATAAACCTTAATCAGTAATTTTGTTTTAAACAGTCACATTATTTTTATGGTCAGAGGTTCAAATGCGACTTAATTGGAGCGGGTCGTGATGTTCGAGAGTTCGGAGAGATCATTAAAAATAAACTTTATTTTTAACAAAACTTTATGATTCATATTTTGGTGTATAAACATGGCCAGACAAGCAGATCTTGTTCTCGTATCTCTCAGTGAGGAGACTGGGTGGTTTCACGGGTGTAATTGGATCAATACAAATTCAAACTTTGAGAATAGCCGGAATATTGGGAGACAGTGAAATCAATTTTGAATCTGATCTTTTTATGTGCATTTGCCTTGTGGAAAATTTTGGCATTTGCACAACAACACACAGCAAAATTGCCTTGTTTGTGTGGTGCGTTTCTCTAGTTTTTTTTTTTTTTTTTTTTTTGCAAAGCAAGCCCTGTAAACTAGTTGTTGGAGGAACAGCTCGCAGTTGAGGCGCTAACCTGCAGCTGCCACCCTCAGCGGGCAGAGTCAGCACTGTGCCTACGGCCCCGCCTCTCTTCAAAAGAGCCTCAAATGGCCTGGACCAATCTTCAAAAGGTGTACGCTGAATTAATAAGAGCGGCTAGAAGTGCTGAAGGTTTGTGGGCCCCCCAGTAATGAATTTAACCATGCAAAAAATTCACTTGTTTCTAAACAATGAGTTTTTATTTTATTTACAGTGACAGCACACACACACACACAAACAGACACACACAAAGAGACACTAACAAAAGATGTTTACTATTTGCCTCTGTTGTGTTCGACCTTTTGATTCGTTTGCGTCACATGAAGACAAATTGATTGATATTGTCTGTATCTTTCTGTTAGCGACCATCAGAAGGACCAGTTCTCTCTGAACAAAAGTCTTTTTTTAATGTGCGTACACATCCTTTGATCCACGCTTGAACTGGGGCAGTAGACACAATAATTAATTACAAATACTTGTCTGGCAACCACAGTCGGAAACCACATAATCTCTTCTTTTAATAAGTTTCTTAGAAGGCAGAACTTTTAACAGCGTTAGCAGAGTAATTATTTGAAGGGCTCCCACTGCAGAGTATGCTTTCACATCCAGTTTCAAAGAGCTTTTTGTCAAAAAGAGATTGTTTTATGCTACTGTGCAAAAAGGCAAAATCTGGCCTTGAAATTCAGCTTTGGATTGTTTGGTATTTAAGACATAAACAGGCTACATTTAACTAAGTGGAGGTGTTGTTATTCATGAAGCCATATCGAATGTTTATGTAATTAGGATCTTGGTTTGGCTGGATAGTTGTGTATGTAAATTAGACAAAGAAGAAATATAAATGAATCTGAAATACAATTGAAGTCAGCGTCGTGTTAAACATCTGTCTACAAAGTCGGTGTCCCCCACGGCACAAACTACAGTGATAAGGTGTTGCATTAGCAAGGCTCCTGAAGGTGATTCAAAGGTGATTTGCTTTTCTTATCTGGTAAATAGGTGTGTGTGTGTGTGTGTGTGTGTGTGTGTGTGTGTGTGTGTGTGTGTGTGTGTGTGTGTGTGTGTGTGTGTGTGTGTGTGGTTTGGTGTTTGTAAATATGTGACCAAGCAGGAACAGCCATTTGCATGTGTCATGCTGCGATGATCAACATACAGTAAAGTCACCGGAGATCCATAATGAGCACATATCCTGCCCACCTCGTGTCAATGCAAATACACTGATGCAAATCATATCTAATGCTTATGTATAAATCCCAGTCAAGGAACAATTAAATCCAAGGACTTCACCTTGCTGTGTGCATCCAGCAGACAACTCCGGGCTAGGCTTAATGCTTGGATAAACAAAACAAAGGGATTCTTCAGCTGCAGCCAAAGGTATTGAGTCTGACAACGACTTGTGATGACGAGCCGACAAACACAATGTAAGCAGGAACCTTGAGTAGGATTGAAAGTGATAAAAAGCCTCATCCGACCCAGGGGAGCGTTGAGGTAAAAATGGAAGATGTTTCTTATTCTAATTGCGCTAACCTTCTCAACTCAGCTGCACTTCGCGTACGGCCACCTAAACTGCAGATTTCACATATATTCAAATCATAATAGAAGATTTTAATTGAGACTATTTGGATTTGTTTTATGTATTTCAAAAGCTAAATGTGCGAATCTTTTCCCCAGGCCCCAGTTACAAACTGTGACTGATTCCATTCTGCAGTGGAAATGAAGAATCGTCTGGTTTGGAGTGTGTGTGCATAATTTTCTGCCTTCTTGTCATCTCTTTGAACACAGCCAAAACAAAACACTTGAGAGCCCCACACAGACTGCTGAGTGGTACACAGAGGTATAAAGATTAAGTTATTCCCATAAAAGTTTACACTGCAGATGTGTTCGGGGTAAAGATTCTCATTATGTTGGGGGCAAATAAATTTGCGCTCTGGGTACTGACAGGTCTGTTTGCTGTCACCACTGTCTTCTTCAATGCGTATATCTTCTTGAGAAGTCTGTTGAACTATAAGCAGAAGAAGCAGTGGAGTCCCAGTGAGACCATCATCGTGGCTCTGTTGGTGGCCGACATGGCTCACCAGCTGGTCTGTTACTTCTGGATGACCATGGACGAGGTGGACAGCAAGTGTCGCATGGCTCAGATGCCTTACACCATCATGCTACTGATTATCTCCAGCCTCAAGTTCACCATCATGTGGGACACCGGCTTCCTCACTTTCTACTACAGCACCAAGCTGGTGAGCACACCCAACCACTGCTACACACGAACCCAGGCCGCCATCCTCAAGCACGTGACCTTAACGGTTTTTCTCATCCCCCTGTGCGGCCTGGGCACCTGCATGCCGATGCTTGTGGTGTTTCACACTGACAACAACACCATCGGCAACAAAGATTGTGGGGTTTTGATGCCCGACACCCCCTCTGGCCAGATTTATGAAATCATTTATCTGCTCCTCGCTGATGTACTGCCAGGGCTGCTCATGGCGAAATGCTGCATCTCCATCTCCGTCCACCTGGCCATCCACCTCCGTCACATGAAAGCCAGCACCAACGGAGCTCACACCCCAAAGCTGGGCTCTCAGATGAGGGTGATTCAGATGGCTCTATCCTTGGTGGCCACCTTCACTGTCTTCCTCGTGGTCGACCTGTACGTGAACTACCAGATGGCCGTGAACCATGAGAACGTCATCACGCTCACCTTCTTCTTCACGGCCATGTACACAACTGTCACCGCCGTGGTGCTGATCTATGGGAAAAAGAGTCTCTGGAAAGCTCTGATGCACGATGTTAATGTCTGCCTGGATGAGTATCCGCGTTTGTCTTGTCTGAAGGTGCCTGAACGAAACGCCAAACCCAGCACTCCTGCAAAAGTAAAAAAGTGAAAAGCCAATTTGCTTTGCGGTGGAGGTCTTTGTGCTGAAATCAATTGGTCATTGTCTGAACTTATTAAAAACTTTGAAGTAACTTATTCTTTTATCTTATGTGCCAGCAATTTCAGTAATGACTGCTGTCCTGCTGTATCACCATTTATTACAGTTTCTTTCAACCATAAGGTAATTTAGCTGTTAGTCAGTAAGAGCAGGGAAGGCAGAGTGATGCACAGATCACAGCAGCCAGGTAACCACCTCACCATCCAATCACAAACTCATCAGACTGTACCTATCAATATTAATATTTCATTAGGACAAATAATAGTAGGGGCTGTAAAATAGATCCCAAAGAATTTTGCGTGGACATGATGTAACTTGGGACCCATCTAAAAATGCTGAAAAATACATGTGACTGTGGTGTGAGTACAGAGCATATTAATAAAACAAGAAAGTATGCACAACCTTCCACAACATTCTTTTTTTCCTCTTTTTTTTCATCACAGAGGTTTTAAGAGGTTTTTTCCTCAGTCAGGTTGCAGATGGTTTAAAGCTGCGACCTGACTGAGTGTGTTTGTAACTGGACGGTTGCCGGACCAAACTCCCGTACCAGTCGAGAGAGAGAGGGCGGAAAAATTGACTTGATGGGGAAAAGCACGTGTAATCACCACTTTCTCTTGTTTATCTGTTCACTGGTCCTCAACAGAGGTGTGTGTGCCTGCACTCGACAGCTCCCAGGTGTGTAACTGTAAATCTGTGTGTGTGTGTGTGTGTGTGTGTGTGTGTGTGGGGGTGTGAAGCTGGGCGTTCCTGAAAAGTGCACTCATGCCCAGCAAACCTACCCTGAGTAAATAGAGGTTTAAAAAATGCAGCAGATCTCTTTGCAATGCTCCATTAGTTCACACCCTCTGGCACCACCTAGTGAGGTTCAAAGCGGAGATACAATAGTGCAGCTAATCCCACTCCACACACAGGCTGGGGATCCCTCCGGCAGCTAAATGGACAAAGTAAGGGAGGGCATATTTTCCTTTGATGCAGGCGAGTTAAGTCGCACCAAGGCCTCGGCTTCGACCCCTCCTGTCCTGTCTCTCTCTGTGGGAGGGAGGTGGGTTTAGCATGATGGGGGGGGGGGGGCAGCTCAAAATAGTGGCCAATATGGATGCAATACTAATGGTGGAATATTATTCACTGTCTTTACTCTTTACATTTTTTGGAGAAGAATTAAGATGATTTATAATATAAAATACGCAATTACAAGTAATAGCCTTAAGCAAACTTACACAGGCATTAACAGCAAAACATACTTTGAATTTATTCAGCAGAAAAATGGCTTCTGTGACTGATGCATTAGAATATATAACATTTTCAAATTGTTTCAAATTGCATTTTTGCCTTTATTCTGATAGGACAGTAAGAGTTAGACAGGAAGGTCAGGTTCGCTGTGGGTAGGACTAAGCCCATGTAGTACGCACTCTACTAGGCGAGCCAATGAGGCAACCCCACATTTTCACATTGTTGATGCCTTTGCATTTGTGTCTAAGCAGCATTTTCACTTGTATTTGTAGCTGGTTGAGATGAAGAAGGTATTAACTACTGTGCACAGAGTTTGTTTGGTCCCATTTGGCCCCCAAATCAAGGGGTTAGGGTTAGTACTGGGTGAGGGTGGTTAGGGTTAGTGTTGTATTCTTTCAGTTTTGGATTTTCTCCAACCTTGGATATTTTTTTCAGTGACATATTAGATAATTTCACCTCCTTGGACTTGAAAACAGCTACCTGAATGAAACCATCTCCAAGGTTGAGAGTGAATATCTCTTTGGTGGAACTGTTAACAACTCCAAGACTTGAGCAATGTAATAACTAGACACTGCTTTTCTGTAAGGGGTCACAAACCAATGAGGGTTTTGTACCACTGGTTTAATCTTTAACAGTGTGTTATATTGTATTTCATGTTTTCATTTAATTCTTAATCGGAAAATTAGCTGTCGGATAAATGTAGTGGAGTAAATAGTACATTTCCCTCTTAATTGTAGAGGGGCAGTGCAGGTATATAAAAGCTGCACTTAAGACCAGACCTAAATGTACCACAGGGAAATGATGCCTTAGAGTTTGCATCCATCTGCTGGAAAAAAACAACTTCCAACTGCTTTCTACTGATGGTAAAGGAAACCTTAGACTCATGACAATTTAAAATGAGACATTCATGTGTCATCGGCTGATCGTCAGTAAGAGGAGGCTGGACAGACATCTGCAATATAAATAAAAGAAGGGAAGCTGCTATGATTGATGTCCTCATATTTCTATACAGCATGAATTTGTAAACATGTTTATGGTATGAAGACCGTTTCTATGGAGATGCTCCTGAGGAGGCTGAAGCTGCCAGTTGCAGAGCTGCTCTTCTTGCATGGGCGAACATCACTTCAAATAAGTCATTTCTCCTGAGACTTGCAGCGAGAGCGATGTCCTGTACCTCACTATCTGACAGGAAGGAACAGGCCATTAACAACTCAGATTAGCAAGACCAGCACCCATCACACAACTCCTATAAACATCTCATAAACTCCTCCCTGCAGACGGCCTCCCCAGATAATGCCTCTTTAGCTCGTGCATCAGCGTGAGCTAAAGAGGCATCATTTTCCTACACCTACTGTAATTGTACCTGAAATGCATAAATCAACCATTTCATACCAATTTGTTTAATGTTTTTAGCTTGAATGGGTAATTTTTCAAACTATCAGCAGCATCAAAATGACTGTCTGTGTGAGTGGAGGAGTTTCCAGGAAGGGCGCAGGGAGTTACCTGTATTGACTATGTCGACAGGATCTTAATTAAAAGATGGAGAGGATGCCTCTAAAATGATAAATGACACCAAAAAAAAAAACACAGGAGTTTGCTGGTCTTTTAACACATCTTTATTTTTGTTCAGTCAACAGTTTGTTCATAAAAAAGATCATTATGCATCTCTTGAGGCATTGTTTGTATAAAGTTTCTTTAATCCTTATTAGGAAAAATGTATCGTACAAAAGAGTTTATCTCTTGTAAAACAATTTAAAATTTAAAAATATAACTAAAATACTGACAGCTTAATTATGAATTCAACTTGATCATTTTCAAAACAGCTTACATGCATAGATTTAGCACTCTGAAGGCACATAAAAATTTAAACAGTGCACATTAGAGCAGTATGCTGAAATTAGACCCAAATTACTCTGCATACAAATAAACCATCTCTATACACACTGGGTGTGCAAAACAATGGAAATATTAAAATTTTAATGAGTAGCAATAATTTAAATTTCAATAAAGAACTGAAATCTATCTATACCTGAAATATAAAACTAAAGTGAACTTCAAAGGCATTTATACTTGTACCATACAGCGGTTTGTGTTCTTTAAAGGACCATGTCAAAATTTTGGTAAATGTGCTTCTCTGCTTCCTTATCCAGAGTTATACTTGGAGGTTGATACCTACCTCATGTCTGTACAGTAAATACGCAGCTGACTGTGACAGCCGGTAAGCTTAGCTTAGCATAAAGAGAGGAAACGGCTAGCTTGTCTCAATCCACAGGTAACAGAATCCAGTGTTATGAAAGTTCACTAATCAGCGCCTTATATTTCATTTATTTGATCTGTACAAAAACCAAGGTGTGTTCTGAACTGCTTTTCGCCAGGCTAAGTGTTTCCCTCCGTTCCTAGTCTTTATGCTAAGCTAAGCTATCAAGCTGCTGGCTCCAGCTCTGTATATACAGTATCCTTTCAGACATGTGTATCTGTGTATCATATCTGATATTCAACTCTTGGCAAGAATGCAAATAAGGCCATTTCCCAAAATGCTGAACTATTCCTTCAAAGAAAAACAGCCACTGAACATCAACATCAATGTGATGCAGTTTGGAAGCATCAGTTACAGTATTCATTTCATCATAAACATCAGAACAAACGTGTAATCTGTACCACATTCAATAATGCTATCCAGTGTTTCTGAAACATCGTGGTGTAGGGAAATTGGGTTTGACCATGGTATTACTCAACACCGACATCAAACACAAAATAACTACATTTCCAAACATCAGTTACATTCTGTACATTGTGTTCCCTGCTCTTGATCAAGTTCGACATTGTGTCTAATGCAGCTTTTTCCTGTTCAGATCTGGAATGCCGGTACACAGCGAGGGGGGAAATAATTCATCCAGTGTCACTCCAACACATAAAAATAAAATATTACATTGCAACATTGGTCATTCCTTTTCCCTGCAAGTGATAAAAAAAACATCATAGTGTCTTTTCTTCAAAAATAAGAATAAAGAATAAAAGCATCTAATCATTATTTCATTAACTCTTAAAAAAAACACACTGAATCCAAGGCTGTAGTGACCTTATGCACTCGAAATTGTTGCTCCACAGTTGTACACTATTATGATGATAACCCCATACATATACTTCCTTGCGGCCTAAAAACAAAACTGCTAAAACTCGAGAACAAAGGACTATTTGGAATTATTACTGACTTGCATCAGAAAGACCCCCCCCCCCGAATATCTTGCTTACATCCCACATAGATGGTCCTGTATCTGTGCCCTACTGTGGCGTTTGCACAATGCCACAAATGAAACTGCACTTTTCATCGCAGCCAAATCAGAGAATTAGTGAAAATCTTTAAGGCCTGTGCGTAGGTTTAGCCTTACTGGGGGGTGTGCTCGTACGAGGGGAACATCGACTTCCGCGTTTTCGGAGGCGGTGGAGGAGGCTTGCTCTCAATCTTCATTGGCAGCGGAGGAGTGAACTGTGGGGAAAGAAGAGTTCAGGCTAGGACTTCAAATGGAAATAAAAACAGAATATTTTAACGTTTACATGCCATTAAATATGCATTAGTGTGAGGGTGCTATTTTTTGCAAGCAGTTGTACCTCTGAAGAGATCCTGGTGTTGTCAATCTCGTGCGGGTGTTTCTTCGGAGGCATGGGTGGTGGGGTCCCTGGGGTGTCAAATGTATTGGCATCATTGTCACTGAGAAGCGATG